CCCTTGACACAGGAGTGACAGGGTGGGTTTCCTTGATACAGGAGTGACAGAGTGGGTTTCTTTGATACAGGAGTGACAGGGTGGGTTCCCTTGACACAGGAGTGACAGGGTCGGTTCCCTTGACACAGGAGTGACAGGGTGGGTTCCCGTGACACAGGAGTGACAGGGTGGGTTCCCTTGACACAGGAGTGACAGGGTGGGTTCCCGTGACACAGGAGTGACAGAGTGGGTTCCCTTGATACAGGAGTGACAGAGTGGGTTCCCTTGATACAGGAGTGACAGGGTGGGTTTCCTTGATACAGGAGTGACAGAGTGGGTTCCCTTGATACAGGAGTGACAGGGTGGGTTTCCTTGATACAGGAGTGACAGAGTGGGTTCCCTTGATACAGGAGTGACAGGGAGGGTTCCCTTGACACAGGAGTGACAGGGTGGGTTCCCTTGACACAGGAGTGACAGGGTCGGTTCCCTTGACACAGGAGTGACAGGGTGGGTTCCCTTGACACAGGAGTGACGGGGCGGGTTCCCTTGACACAGGAGTGACGGGGTGGGTTCCCTTGACACAGGAGTGACGGGGTGGGTTCCCTTGACACAGGAGTGACAGGGTGGGTTCCCTTGACACAGGAGTGACAGGGTGGGTTCCCTTGATACAGGAGTGACAGTGTGGGTTTCCTTGATACAGGAGTGACAGGGTGGGTTCCCTTGACACAGGAGCGACGGGGCGGGTTCCCTTGACACAGGAGTGACGGGGCGGGTTCCCTTGACACAGGAGTGACAGGGTGGGTTCCCTTGACACAGGAGTGACAGGGTGGGTTTCCTTGATACAGGAGTGACAGAGTGGGTTTCTTTGATACAGGAGGGACAGGGTGGGTTCCCTTGACACAGGAGTGACAGGGTCGGTTCCCTTGACACAGGAGTGACAGGGTGGGTTCCCGTGACACAGGAGTGACAGGGTGGGTTCCCTTGACACAGGAGTGACAGGGTGGGTTCCCGTGACACAGGAGTGACAGAGTGGGTTCCCTTGATACAGGAGTGACAGAGTGGGTTCCCTTGATACAGGAGTGACAGGGTGGGTTTCCTTGATACAGGAGTGACAGAGTGGGTTCCCTTGATACAGGAGTGACAGGGTGGGTTTCCTTGATACAGGAGTGACAGAGTGGGTTCCCTTGATACAGGAGTGACAGGGAGGGTTCCCTTGACACAGGAGTGACAGGGTGGGTTCCCTTGACACAGGAGTGACAGGGTCGGTTCCCTTGACACAGGAGTGACAGGGTGGGTTCCCTTGACACAGGAGTGACGGGGCGGGTTCCCTTGACACAGGAGTGACGGGGTGGGTTCCCTTGACACAGGAGTGACGGGGTGGGTTCCCTTGACACAGGAGTGACAGGGTGGGTTCCCTTGACACAGGAGTGACGGGGCGGGTTCCCTTGACACAGGAGTGACGGGGCGGGTTCCCTTGACACAGGAGTGACGGGGTGGGTTCCCTTGACACAGGAGTGACGGGGCGGGTTCCCTTGACACAGGAGTGACAGGGTGGGTTCCCTTGACACAGGAGTGACAGGGTCGGTTCCCTTGACACAGGAGTGACAGGGTGGGTTCCCTTGACACAGGAGTGACGGGGTGGGTTCCCTTGACACAGGAGTGACGGGGCGGGTTCCCTTGACACAGGAGTGACAGGGTGGGTTTCCTTGATACAGGAGTGACAGGGTGAGTTCCCTTGACACAGGAGTGACAGGGTGGGTTTCCTTGATACAGGAGTGACAGGGTGGGTTCCCTTGATACAGGAGTGACAGGGTGGGTTCCCTTGACACAGGAGTGACGGGGCGGGTTCCCTTGATGCAGGAGTGAGAGTCTTTACTGGTTAAAGCGTTTGCACGTCACGCCGAAGACCCGGGTTCGATTGCCCACATGGGTACACTGTGTGAAGCCCATTTCTGGTGTTTCCGCCGTGATATTGCTGGAATATTGCTAAAGGCGGCGTAAAACAAATACTCACTCAGTAACTCACGAAGATAGCTCCTATTTTACTGTCTGGCTCCGAAATCCGGGGTTCTGAGTATAAGCAAGCTCGGTTTCGAAACGTTATTTATGTGTATCCAAATCAGCTTCAAATACGATTGGGCTTGGACAGTCTGGAAGGCATTGTTTGTGTGTAAAGTTCACACGCTGCATCAAGTATTGATGTAAACTGCAATTGTTATCTATGGATCGAGACAGTATCCATGTGCGGGTCGTGAAATGCTGAAAGTATTTGATGAAAATGGTAAACTAACTTTTCATACTGGGTTCTCCTATTTTTGGATAGCCCAAGATGGTGGAAATGTAGACGTTTGTATTCATCAGTTTGTACCACGTTGTGATGACATACAGTTACAGACTAGGCATGACAAAGCTACCAACTCCACGTACCTAAATACGTACTCCTGTACAAATCTTGGACCTGAAAAATATGTAGCCCAGATAGACAGGATCTTGTCATAATGACATGTAGATTTCCTTATTTGTCACACACATTGAAAGTTCAACAATGTCGCTATATTCCGTCTGTGGATGTCAGTTCACGCATCTGTAGCAGGTGCAATACGCAGCTCATGGAAGATGACAGTCACTCCATAATACTCCTAACTCTGTTTTCCAGGGCTAAACGAGTATTGTCACCGCGTGCATGTTTTGAGACCAACTTACGTTGATTGATAAGCCTTGAAAAAGGATATAGACAGACAGACAGACAGACAGACAGTTATTTTATTTAGGTCTCGTCAGTGCAAATCATACAAAGGACAACAACGACATATGTACATACAGTTCTGTGTACTGATCCACTCTCATCAGAGGATAGGATACATAGGTTTCTCAAGTGTATTAGATTTTCTCATCAAATGGTTACCAAATTACTTTACATGAACATATTTATAGGTATAGGTAAATGACATTTGCAAAATATGTAATAGTGAATTTCACTCTATTGAAACACCTGTCGCCGACGTAAGGTCGACAATTACACACGTCCTCAAATCGTGAATTCCAATTGAAAGTATATTGAAATGTCTGTGAGTTCAAGATAACATAACATGTAAAATTGACATCAATATGTCTTTTTAGAAAACTAATGGATCATTTAAACAACGTCCCAGAATGTATACGTTATAGCATGGTCTCCACACACCGCATGCTCCTAGCGTGGGCAGATGTCACCCAGTTCACGGATCAGTGGACATTTGCCTTCTCTGGTCCTGGAGAGTTCACACGTCCATGTTTTGGACTGGTAACACCAAACGTACTGGTAGTCCTACAAGGTGTCAAAACGGCTGATTTTAAAGTTTTCAACCTGAGCAAATATTTGATCGAGCTGGAATAGTGGTTAGTGTCGCGTTAAACAACATACAGTGAGTGAGTATGGTTAAGCGCGGCCTTGAGCAATATTCCAGCAATAACACGGCCTGGGACACCAGAAATGGGCTTCATGTATCCATGTCGGGAATCGAACCCGGGTCATCGGCGTGACGAGCGAACGCTTTAACCACTAGGCCAACAACATACAACAAACCTTTGTATGTTGCCAGCCTTGTTCTTTAAGTGTACATGTGCCCGTGGAGCGCTAGTCGCTGTACATGTCATGAAGGTCACAGGTGGCCCAGTCGTCTAAAGGCGCCGCCAGTAGCTGTACATGTCATGAAGGCCACAGGTGACCCAGTCGTCTAAAGGCGCCGCCAGTAGCTGTACATGTCATGCAGGCCACAGGTGACCCAGTCGTCTAAAGGCGCCGCTAGTAGCTGTACATGTCATGAAGGCCACAGGTGACCCAGTCGTCTAAAGGCGCCGCCAGTAGCTGTACATGTCATGAAGGCCACAGGTGACCCAGTCGTCTAAAGGCGCCGCCAGTAGCTGTACATGTCATGAAGGCCACAGGTGACCCAGTCGTCTAAAGGCGCCGCCAGTAGCTGTACATGTCATGAAGGCCACAGGTGGCCCAGTCGTCTAAAGGCGCCGCCAGTAGCTGTACATGTCATGAAGGCCACAGGTGACCCAGTCGTCTAAAGGCGCCGCTAGTAGCTGTACATGTCATGCAGGCCACAGGTGACCCAGTCGTCTAAAGGCGCCGCCAGTAGCTGTACATGTCATGAAGGCCACAGGTGACCCAGTCGTCTAAAGGCGCCGCCAGTAGCTGTACATGTCATGAAGGCCACAGGTGGCCCAGTCGTCTAAAGGCGCCGCCAGTAGCTGTACATGTCATGAAGGCCACAGGTGACCCAGTCGTCTAAAGGCGCCGCCAGTAGCTGTACATGTCATGAAGGCCACAGGTGACCCAGTCGTCTAAAGGCGCCGCCAGTAGCTGTACATGTCATGAAGGCCACAGGTGGCCCAGTCGTCTAAAGGCGCCGCCAGTAGCTGTACATGTCATGAAGGCCACAGGTGGCCCAGTCGTCTAAAGGCGCCGCCAGTAGCTGTACATGTCATGAAGGCCACAGGTGACCCAGTCGTCTAAAGGCGCCGCCAGTAGCTGTACATGTCATGAAGGCCACAGGTGACCCAGTCGTCTAAAGGCGCCGCCAGTAGCTGTACATGTCATGAAGGCCACAGGTGGCCCAGTCGTCTAAAGGCGCCGCCAGTAGCTGTACATGTCAAGAAGGCCACAGGTGGCCCAGTCGTCTAAAGGCGCCGCCAGTAGCTGTACATGTCATGAAGGCCACAGGTGACCCAGTCGTCTAAAGGCGCCGCTAGTAGCTGTACATGTCATGCAGGCCACAGATTCCCAGAATCCCGATTCGCCCCGATTTATGTTTCTAGATTTGTCAGCACAATACCCGTGCCGTGGGTTTCACCAAAGTGGGAAACGCCTGAGATCTCCCACATTGAGCTGACACGCCATGACATAACTGGAATATTTTAAAGTGCGGCGCTAAACCCAAATCACTCACTCAATCAAGGACACGTCAGACGTCAGAACAAGACCAAGACTCAAAATATATATTTGGAAAAATAATTTATTCATAATACCCTATGTTCGTCAAGGCACCATGTGAAAGAGTATACAGTTTATGTATAAAACATATCTAAACGCAAAAAACAAACAAATGAAAACATCAGCACTTTGCACAGCGACACTGCGGCGGTCACACGACAACCACGAGATGTCAAACATAGATCCCCTGCAGCGGTGCCCTCAATAAAACATTGGTCCGTCAAACATAGTTCCTCTGATCTTCCTGGTCAAGCATGTGGAATTTTTTTGTACATTTCAAATTTCTTCACGTCAAGCAAATACACTGAGAGTGAATTGTCCGGGAATGTCCCAATTTATATCAATTGGCAATGCGTCCACACCCTCACATTGTCTGTGCTGGATCGAAGGTCCACAACCTCACATTGTCTGTGCTGGATCGAAGGTCCACAACCTCACATTGTCTGTGCTGGATCGAAGGTCCACAACCTCACATTGTCTGTGCTGGATCGAGGGTCCACAACCTCACATTGTCTGTGCTGAAATAGGGGGTCCACAACCTCACATTGTCTGTGCTGAAATCGGGGGTCCACAAGCTCAAATTCTCTGTGCTGGATCGAAGATTCAGAAGCTCACCTTGTCTTTTCTGGATCGTAGGTCCACGAGCTTAACTTATCTGTGCTGGATCGAAGATCCAGAAACTCACATTGTCTGTACTTGGTCAAAGGTCCACCACAACCTCACAATCTCTGTATCCGATAAAACGTCCACAAGGTCACATTCTGGGTACAGCATCAAGTGTCTTAGTCGTATGTGTATAGAACTTGCCCGCAGACGACACAATGGGCGCCATGACGGAATGTCCCGGGGGGTATGGATACATAGAGCACCCACACGACATAGACGTACAGGGGTGTGACTGGACAGGGTGGTGCACCATAGGCCCCGGGGTGATGTGGTGGTGGGGGTAAGGGTAGCCTGGGGGTGGGGATGCAGTGGATACGGGCGGAATGTGTGCAGCAGAGACGCCTGGCGCCCGACGGGGGTGACCAGAGCGGTAAATGTCATCAATCAGTGACTTCATCTCCTCCACAGACTTCGTCAGCATGGTGATGTAGTTCTTGGCGAGGGTCAGCGTGGCTATCTTGGACAACTTCCGGACCGCTGGTCCACGGGCGTACGGCATGACATCACGCAGCCCTTCCATGGCGGAATTGAGATCATGCATGCGTTTCCGTTCTCTCTCATTGATCTTTGAGCGGAGTTCCTTCAGTTCGCCATTGCTGAGACCATGGAGGGAGTAGTTGGCTTTACTCTGGGGACATCCGTCGTCGCTCCTGTCGTCACCAGTGGAGATGCAGTCGTCCTCGCCGATGATGTCGATATAATCCCTCCCGTCGTCTTCCTGCTCAGAGCTGTGGTTGTGGGCCTGGGACGACATGTCAGACTGATATGTTCTGTAATGCAACTTCTCCACGTATTCTCAGAATGAAATGTCCATTAGTGTCTAGCACCTGTGAGCGTTTCTCCTTAAAAGTCTTCAGAACTGTTGAACAAACACCTTGAACTGTCACTCAATTCCCGACCTTCCTAACTTTCACTGACAGTAATTGTGACGTCTTCAGTGGCCAAGGCTGTAAGGTTGTTGTGATCACCGCGGCGGTAGCTTCAATACTGAAGTTGTAGCATTCGCACTGACGTTTGTACCTCGGGCCGCACCCCCCGGGGGCACACACAAGAGGGTGGGGCAAGTCACCTGGAATAAAGGTGTTAGAGGACAATAGGCGAACCATCAGCCGTCACTAATACACTCACTGTGCAGGGCTGGCGACCAACCAACGCGAGAACATTGTGGTTCTGCCAATCAGTCCCGCCGCGCTGGTTGGTCGCTGTGTGAAGACAATACTGGGTAGGAGGAGCATCTCAATGACGGACATTTACCAATTAACAGGCGACATTAAATTACTGATAATTGATATTAAACAATTCCTGAATGTATGTAAGAATTGTACGCATGTTAAATAAAATCTAATTCCTTTTTCTCTCACTTACATCGTCGTCTTATGGCTGCTGCATAATGTTTATACTAAAACATGTGGAGTAGATTTAAACAAATCGACAGTCACACCATCGCCGACATAAACTGAGGAGAGAAAAAAAGAGAGAACTAATACTGCCAGTTGAAAGTCGTGTGAAATCAGTGTTGGTGAACATACCGACTTGACCAGTGGCATACAGAATATGTGTGGATGACAACAACAAACAACAAAGAAAAACGTTTATTTTGCTACAGGGTCATAACTATGACAAATTGAAGATACAAGCCGAGATATATGATGTGACACGAGGCATGAGACAGACGTACGCCAGCTGAACGTTAAACTGCAACACACTCATACATCTAATTAAATATGTTGAGGATTTCTTTTACAAACTGTGCTAGTTTTCTTTGTTCTCATAAACTTTCAGTATTTAGTTACATATCAAGTAATATCGCGCGAGGTCTTGTAAATACGTTTGAATATATAACTTACGCAAGTTATGCAGAGAAAGATATATTAATAGATGGTGATATTCGTCAGCTAATTCATGTTTATTAAAGTGACTTCAGATTCTGTCTTCCCATGGTATATTTACCCATCGCCCCCTTTCTGTCGGTAGAGTATGATTAGTTGATCTTATTTTAGTAATCGGGGTACTGAGTCTTGAGGGAAGTGATAGTAGATAATTTTCTAACTGGATTTTATGTTTAAATAATCGGTAGAATACTGCCTTGCGAGAGTTGTTTATCAAGCTTGTCCAAGTCTGGCTAAACCGATCAAAGATACGTTGTTTAATAACGCACGTTAATACATTTATATTTGGCATAAGTTGTTGGGTCCGTATATAACTTAGGGCTTATCCATCAAATAAACCTTTAACATATCGAGCCAACTATATGTATGAATACAGGGGTCTATATAATGCAAATGATACATTATCCATAACGGTACACAATTTCGCTGGTTTTTGAAAGTCTTGGATCATTATGTCCACATTCTTTGTTTAAATAAATCAGTAATAGGGGTTCTTCCCAGCTATCCGTATAAAAAATGGTGAGGTGTGGTTTTTTAACGTTTAGTATAAATTTTAAGAAATCTGTGTTAACCTTTTCTATCATATCTAGTTTATCAAATCCCCAAATTTCGGAACCATATGTTAATATAGGCATAAATGGTTTGATCATATAGTAATAACTTGCAACCTATTGGTAAGTCCAGATTATGTTTTCTACTATAAAATGAATGCATAGCTTTTCAGGCTTGAGCTACAAACGAAGTCTTGGTGGCTAGAAAACTTCCATTTCGTTTAAAAACCAGACCCAAAAACTTCTACTGATCTACTACTTCAACACCAGTACTCACTGTCGTAACCACGTTATTCTTTCTTGATCCAAATACAACCACCTTAGTTTTATCAATATTAATTAGTCATAAAAACTTTCATATTATTTTGAAGATCATGGGCGTTATCTGAAAGTATAAAAGTATCATCTGCATATGTCAAAACAATAATATTTTTTACAGATTCTTAATGCTTCATCTTCCGATATAACATCAATACTTTTACACATTTGCTGCTGTATGTATTCTTCCAGGTCATTTCAGTATAAAACAAAGAGAATAGTCAATACATTTACCCCTGTCTAACTCCGATATCACTAGACAAAAACGATTAGCAACAATGCACGACTTTGTGTATGCCTTGATACATGTTAAATATGATCTGCAAATATTTACCTTGTATATTTGTATATCATTATTTTGCCAGAGTCCAAGGCACCAAACGTTATCGGAGGCCTTTGAAAAATCTATTAACGTACAGTATAGTTTATTTTTGTGTGCCCTGCGGTATTCAGCGAGGGAATGCAACACGAACATGTTATCAACAGTAGAATATCCGTGTCGAAATCCTCCTCATGATTCTGATAATAAATTATTATTTTCGAAATAATTGTTAATTCTTTCACTTACAATAGAAGTAAACAGTTTATCGAGGCAGCTAAAAGGAGCAATGGGTTGTTACAAGTTCGGGTCTTTCCGGTCACCTTCGTAAACAGGTTTGAACAATATCGGAGCAGCCATTCTTGTGGTAAAATGCCTGTATCGAATATAATAATAAACAGCGTGTGATACAGCTGATACACTGGGATAAGTAAACCAATATTCATTGACATGACATTGCCATATTATTTTGTACTGTGAAATGTTTATGCCTGACAGAAATCATTTCTTCTTATGCCTGATTGATAAACTTGATGTAGATGTATATGTGTAAATAGATATGCTTGACGATGATGATATGCTTTCATTCTTTCTCGGTGCAGATGTCCCCATGACTTGACTAACGAACTTGATTACGATACTCGGCAAAGCATCATACTGTCTTTCTGCCACTTCATATGGAATTTAAAGAAATACCTTATGTATATGTACTAGATACCTTACTGCTCTCAAAATGTACATTGTAAATTGTTAATTCATAGCACTGTATAACATGATTTCATTGTATATAGTCAAGCAACTTCATTGATGTATTGTAAATAATGTATTTGCCTATGTAAAATCTTCGGATTCAACTCTGGGGGAAATAAAGAAATTCATTCATTCATTCATTCATTCATTCTTCGTACCCATATCTTGTAACGCTTTCTACGAATTAAAACGATGCTGTTTAATGTACTTATTCATAACTTTCTTATATTCCTTGCTAGACATCAATAAAGAAGTGTTTGATGCAGAGGGACAGTATTCCGTCTTCTTAAAATAGTTACGATCTTTTTAAACTTCTAAATGATCTTTCAATGACAAACAGTCAATGGTTAACGTAGACAGCGTTGCCGAATCGCTTCATGTTTTTCTTAATCGCTTCCTATTGTACCACAAACAGCCCTTGAGTGCGTCATCAGGTGTAGAGCCAGCATAACATGCAGGCGATAATACCAATTACCCCCACAGTAAGTCCGCCGATATACCTATACATGTTTAACCTAGCGTATATCGCGCCGGCCTGATTTCCCAGCAGTGCAGGTGCTGATACCCGCTGGTCTACACCCGGGGTGTCAAGCCACCCGCTGAGCTGGAAGGACTACGGGCTGGTCAAACGGTTATTGTATGGTCAAAATACCTATTTATGTTTTTACATAAACCCATCCACGTTAATCACACGTAAGGTGAAGTAGGCTGTGCGGAGCTGTTGACACTGGCTGAAACACGTGTTAATCGGCCCACTGACTCCACACAGCGCGATAACACGATTACCTGAGACAGCTTGATTCAATCAGATTACCACACGTCGGTGATCGGCGCTTGATGTACCCAGTGGGTGTTTATATGTTAACAGTGTTGTGGCTAACATGGTTTACATAACAACATATTTCAACGTTGCCACATTCATAACCGACACCCTTGGTTTGGTTTCCTGCAAACTAACGGCCAGAAAGTCTTACAAATATACCCATCTCTCAACTTGATACTGAAAGTCTTACAAATATACCCATCTTTCAACTTGATACACGGCTCTACAACAAAGAATGTGTTGGAGCCAGGAACTGCCCGCTAGTTGTTCTGGAGCGAACGCCGTCTTCAGCTGCGATAGGTCGTAAGGACAGTTATACAGGGGTGTGTTTACTGTTGCTTAGGATGTTTTTGATTGACCTTCACCACATTACTAATGTTTCTCATAGAGAACATGTAAACGCATGATGGCCCACAGGCCCTACTCCTACAGCTTTACCACAGTTCGGTTTATAAATTATAAAATGGACATCAGTTTACTGAAATCATTACTATTATTGGCGAGCACCAGGTTGGAGTAAGTAGACAACATTCCACTGTCGATAACATTTATATTCTCCTATTCTATTTATAGTACTTGTCCAAACATATATTTCACGTAACAAAGGCAAAGTCTACGTTGCTTTTATCGAAAATAACACCCATTCGATCAGATAAATAGAAGTAGGTTGCTAGCCTATATGTCATTTTACAAAATGTAGTTCACAGAAGATTTTACAATAATTGAGAGCGTGGCAAAAATATATCTGCAGTTGTTACAGAAACTATTAATAAACTTCCAGATTGCTGTTTTTCTGTTCTCCAGGTGTACCTCAGGGATGTACATTCAGTCCGTTAATTCTTATTTAGGAATCAGTCGAATACTGCTATACGTCTTCTCTACAGGATGACGTATTTGTCTCTGAAGAAATGTTTGATCTAATAACGGTATTGTCTGCAGATGACCTCATTGTAGGAGAAACTGCAAAAATAATTATTATATACATACAACATGGACACATCTCATATAGTATTAAAAACCTGGTGGTCGCCTCGGGGTTAAGCGGCATTATCAGTGTTTCATATCATATCAAGCTCCTTCCCAGCGCGTGACATCTTCGTTACACTCTCGGTAACATCGCTGCCACCACTGTGGGCGCGGCCATTACAAAAATCTTTAAATTTGACCTCTAACCCCAAATGTAGTAACGTTCATACTTTTGTTCATGTCTTTGGGAATGCCATCATAGTTCATTTTGAAAAGGTTTACGACTGACAATGTTTTCCAGATGAATTTACTTTGTTGTTAGTATATGAGATTGGTTCGAGATTGCAG